CTCTCTCTCTCTCTCTCTCTCTCTCTCTCTCTCTCTCTCTCTCTCTCTCTCTCTCTCTCTCTCTCTCTCTCTCTCTCTCTCTCTCTCTGTGCACTCCCTGTTCCTCTGTATCTCATTCTCTCTGTCTGTCTCGTCCACTCAATTTCTCCCTATGTGTTTGCGCCTTCCGGGACAGATACATGACACTTGTTCAACCTTTGTATATTCTTTTCACTAGTTTGTCATTTGTGAATCCGAACGCGCATTGCCGATCGATTGTTAAGCTTAGAAGCAGATGAGGTACTTCGCCACCGCATGCCCGTTGAGGTTCTCACATTCGGAGGTTGCAAAGGTGATATTGTTCTTGTCTGGGTGTGTGGCTGTCTTTCTCACACCATCGGGAGCAGAGTGGAGTGTGTGACCTTAGCTATGTTTTGCCGCATTATGCTCCTTCATCTGTGAATGGAATGGGTGTGTATTGCAGCTAGTTCACCCTTTGTTGGTGTGAAGCATTTTGATCGTAGGACTTCTTGGCTTAGGACTTATTTTGCTTTTGTTCTCTTTTAGCGCGCTGACTGCGAAAGGACTCTCAGACGAATACATGCCCGTGCTGTTGAAGAGCGCCATCTTGACGTCCATACCGTGTGCATTCGCAGGAGCTTCGCCATCGTTATTTACGGGAGTTGGTGAGGCCAAACAGGTGCTGTCCTGTTTCACTTTCGATTCTTTGGATTTTTACGTTGTCTGAAGTCCCGAGGCCTTGTTTTTCCTCTCATGGGTTCTTTTTTCTTCTCGTCTCTTGGGGCGTTTATTGACTGTCTGCGAGGGGTCTGTTGCAGCCTTCATTTTGTCGTTGGCAAGGGTGCGAGTGGGGCCGGGTCATCCAACCAAGCAGCCTTCATTTTGTCGTTGGCAAGGGTGCGAGTGGGGCCGGGTCATCCAACCAAGATACGGTTGAAGGAAGGGTGATTTTTCTGAGTGGTAGACACTAAGGTAGGGGTCAGGGGGCGGTGTAACACCAGGGAGAATTCACGAAAGGGGGTTGGGTGGGACGTCGTGAGGTGGACGACCTGAAGATCTGTATTAAAAAAAAAGTTAATAAAAGAAACAAAGAGGTCGTTCGGGACATCCGTTAAAATTGGAATGATACAGAGAAGATTAGTGTGGCCCCTGAAAAAAAAAAAAAAAAAAAAAAGTCTAAGAAACAAAGAAAAAGGTTGCAAGTGAGGAATCTTGTTTTCCTCAGATTTCCATGGAAAAAAAAAACAGCTAAAGTAAAAAAAGGGACTTGTTTCCACTCTGATTTTTTATGTTTTTTTGAATTATTAATTTATTAGTTGTTATCATATTTACAACCGCACAGCACGCCAGCTTTTTTTTTTTTGAAATATTAATTTATTAGTTGTTATCATATTTACATCCGCACAGCACGCCAGACCGTCCGGTGCGCCGTATGGGGTCCGTTCCGGGACCTTCCCAACCTCCGTACAGGCCTCCTGCACCCATACCGTACAGGATCGCACGGGGCCACACGCTGTCGGGTGCGGCCATATCCCGTCCGGAATCTTTTTTTTTTTTTTTTTTTTGTTAGTTTCATGATCACTGCAAGGTGGATGCAGCAATCACCTTTCCTCTATCCCCACCCACACTGGACACACTAGTAAGACTGCTGCCGCCATCAGTTGCCCTTGCCATATGGATCAGCACCTGCCTCAACCCCTCCTTCACAGACCCCGTCTTCATGGCCATGCCGCTTTATCAAAGTGGAACTATACATGTGGCTCGTCACCGTCGCCCCTGCGCACAAAACCGCAGAAGAGAAGCCACAAACTCAGCCGTGTTCTGTGTCCAGTCCGAAAAACACATCCCCCACCCCCTTCCCTTCCTAGTCCTCTCACCCCCTCAAACCCCATGAAATCAGCGTTATTCCACCCACTCCTAGCCCCCTACCCCCCCAAAAAAACCCACGAAAATAGCACTTCACTGCTTTTGCAAAACATAAACGGGCAAAAAAAAAGCGATTAATTCAATTTAATTGTCTTTCACAAAGTGGAAACAACTGCTTTTCCAAATGTCCATGGAAAAGAAGTGGCGACGACAACGTGACAAGGAGGAGGAAGTACAATCGGAGTCCGATTTCCAGAGTTTCATTCAAAAAAAAGAAAGAAAGTGACGAGGGCGTGACAAGGAGGAGATGAGATGGAGGAGGAAGATGAGGATGAGGAGACATGGACAAGGAGGATGAGAGGTGGAGGAGGAGAGATGGAGAGGTGGAGGAAGGAAGATGGACGAGGAGGGATGGATGAGAAGAACGAGGGCACATAGAGGAGGAGGAGGAGGAGGAGGAGGAGGAGGAGATACCATCAGAGGACGATGATATACCATCACAGTTGGAATTTCAAAGTTTCCATTAGAAAAAGAAAAAGAAAAAAAGTGACAGGGCCGTGACAAGGGGGATGAGAGGTGGAAGAGTAGAGATGGAGAGATGGAGGAGAAGAGATGGAGAGACGGAGGAGGAAAGATGGACAAGGAGGGACGAAGGAGGAGGACGAGGAGAGATGGAGGAGGAAATATGGACGAGGAGGGACAGAGGAGGAGGACGAGGAGAGATGGAGGAGGAAAGTTGGACGAAGAGGGATGGAGGAGGACGCGGAGAGATGGAGGAGGAAATATGAACGAGGAGGGACGGAGGAGGACGACGAGGAGAGATGGAGGAGGAAAGATGGACGACTAAGGGTAGAGGAGGTGATACCGACACAAAGGGTAGAGGAGGTGATACCGACACAAATCGAAGTTTACACAAGAAAAGGTGAGCTTGACAAGGAGGACGAGGAGGACAGGAGTAGGCGGCGGAGGAGGAAAGATGCACGAGGAGGGGAAGCTGGTGAGAGGTGAAGGATGAAGTGACGAAGAGAGGAGCGGCGGAGGTGACGAGGAGATAGTCCGAGATACTATCAAAGCTCCGAGAACAAGATCTGATACTGTGGAAAAAAAAGACAAGGACAATACCGTCACGAGGAGGAGAGATGGAGGAGGAGGAGGAGAGGAGGAGGAGCAGGAGGGAGGAGGAAGAAGGGGAGGAGGAGGAGGAGGAGGAAGAGGGGGAGGAGGTGAGTTCGAGGTAGGGTAGGAGGGCTGGTGAAGACTCACCTTGGAGGAGGGTTGGAGTCGGCAATGGTCGCTCCAGAGCTCAGCCTCGGTGATAATGAAAATGCAGGGGGAGGTCAGCGCTGCTCTTAGCGGGGGACTGTTGGTGCTGCTTCCCGGAGTGGACTGGAGGCGGCTGCAACGAGTAAACGGCCCGCCTAAGCCCTGCCAGTATGGACCTGCAAACACTATGAAACGGTCCCCTCCCCACCCAAAACGAAATTCGAAATTTGCTAATAATTTTTCGGGCCCTAAAACCATTTTTGCTCGGGGGGNGGGCAGGGACGAATTGACACCCGGACTTTTTTTTTTTGTTTGTTTTGGCCTGGGCCTTCGTGCGCCGCTCCGTTGGGGTGCGCTGGTGCCAACGGTCAGCGAATCAGCGCACGGCGTGCGCTTGCATGATTGTTATGACAGATGGTGGTAGCACGTGTTGTTTCTCAGCAGTCAAACTGATTCATGATATGATGTGCAAAAAGCCTGATCTTCGTCGAGGAGTCGGTTTGAGTTACAAGGAGTTTGACATTGATGCTTTCGTCGATGGCACACCAAATAGCAGAAGAGCAAATTCCATGGAGAGGTGGCATAAGCGCCGAGGCTTTTCAAGTAATTCGGTAATGTTAAAAAAAAAAAAAGAAAAAAAAAAAAAGGTGCTGTCTGCCCCAATCCTGCACTGGCACGGAAACCATAGGAGGGGTGATGTTTGTCATCCTTATTCAGGCACTTCACATATCGTTTGTCCTTGTTCTACATACATACATATAGATATTTAACGACAATGTCAATGAGGTCCTTTGTGTTCGCAGATGTGTATACAATACTATACATAGATATCCAATAAGTGCCGCAGGCCCCACAGGCCGCAGGCAGAAGCTTACGGGTTAGTGTTCTTTGGTTTTCTGCTGTTTGCAGTTAAGTAGTCTTGATGGGAACATATCTGTGATCGCCAGCCTATGTGATTTCAACTTTTCACTGCTCCTCTTGCCTATGTACGACGGCTGTCTGTAGCCTGTACGTTGTCACTGATCATCGTTCTTGGCGGGAAAATAGAGAAAAAATATCATCATTCTCCCTTGACTGTTTGACATGAAACTCAGCTCCAGATGTGTATTTGGTGTCGAAGAAAGAAAAAGAAAAGAGAAACAGTTTGAAGAACTGTGGGCTATGCTTGGAGGTACACAAACAGAAAGAAAGAAAACCTTAAAAGAAAAGGCCCAATCTGTTGACTGTTTGACATGAAAGTCAGCTCCGGATGTGTATTTGGTGTCGAAGAAAGAAGAAGAAAAGAAAAACTTTTTGAAGAAGTGTTGGCTATGCTTGGAGGTACGAAAACAAAGGGCCTCGCTGCACTACTCTCGAAAGGTGCAAAACGAGAGTGAACCTTCCGCAAGAACATGGAAAGATACAGCGACATGATTTTTGTGTTTTGTGCATTTCAAGAGTAGTGCAGCGACGCCCAGAAAGAAAGATGCTTTCAAGACTTCGGGTGCCAGATCCGGAGGCCGGTGGGTCTCTGGGAGGGCATGGGCTGTCAGATCTTGGAGGCCGAATCGTAATTTGGTTGAGGCCTGTTGGACCTCAAAACTTAAAAAGAAAAGGCCCAATCTGGGCGGTCAGATCTTGAAGATCGTTGGCTCAGATTGGGCCTTTTTGAATTTGAAGTTTGAACTTTGAGCTGGGTGTGCCCCCTGCCTGGGCCTGGAAGATCGACGAGCAGATTTGTTGCAGCTGCTGCTGCATCTACACCCCTGCAATTGCTGCAGCAGCAACATCGCCTGCAACTGCTATTGCAGGTGCAGCTGTAGCACTTTTTTGCAGCTGCAAGCTGCAACTGTTGCTGCAGCAGCAACAGCATCTGCAACAAAGTGCTGCAGCTGCACCTGCTGTCACAGCTGCGCCTGGTGCCGGAGCTGCACTTGTTGCAGCTGCACCTGCTGCCACAGCTGCACCTGGCGCCGCAGCTGCACTTGTTGCAGCTGCACCTGGTGTTGCACCGCACACTTAAAGCCACCTATTTTATATGTATAATCTGTGACTTTTCTCTCATCAACTCTTAGGGAGTTCTTTTCCCAGACCTATTTTTAGGTCCTGCTTGTACTGGTCTGTCACATTTTTTTCTGACTGAATTTTGTTTTAACGGAGTGGTGGGGTTTTTCCCTGGGCCTGCCACCCAGCGCCCTCTCAATAGTTTATCATTATTTTCCAGGGACGTATTTTATATTCTTAGTATGAATTGAATTAGTTTTTTCATAATCCTGGTTTGTCCTACGAACCAGTGCTGGTCCCCGGATGGACCAGGGGGCGCTCCCTCGTCCGGGAGCTTGCCGGCTGGACTGGGTGGTCCACCGGCCGGGCAGGCCCCCGGTCCAACCCAGTGCATCGTGCTGGGGGGCTGAACCGGCCGGTTGCTACGAACCTGGGCGAGGCCGGACCCAGACAAAAACAAAGAAGAAAAGGACTTTTTTTTTTTTTGTAAACCGGTTTTCCAATTCACACCCCCCTGGGCGAGGCCGGTCCCAGTTGCACCGGGCGAGCTGAACCGGCCGGTTGCTACGAACCAGTTTTTCAAAATCCAAGGAAAAACCATTGAGAAGGCAGCACGGGAAAGCAGCACTTTGTAGGATTTTAGTTCTACGGGATTTCATAATTTAGCAGGGTCGGCCTGGGTACTTTAGCTGATAGTCTCCCGTCTCCAACAGCCGTTTTGGTTTCTTGTGGTTGCTTTTTCCTTTGGTTTCCTGCTGTTTGTTTTGCTTGCCGGTGACAAGTAACCGGACTGAATCCCTCCCAGAACAAAACAAGGGTAGTGTCTCTTTTTTTTTTTTTTTTACCATACACCGCATTCTTCGGGGGTAGGGGGCCAGTGGATCAAAATGGCTGTGGCTGTGACATGCAAAAAAAAAAAAAAAAAATTGCGCTTGGGCAAAACTTTGGACGCAGTTCTTTTCCTCCTTGGCAAAAAGAGGCTCATGATAATGG